ATGTTTAAAAGGGTCCTTCTGGATTCCATGCATGTGGAATCCTGGGAAAATAAAATCCATAGGGATAAAAATAAGCTTGCTGCTTGTCAAGAAGTGAGATAGAGACAGTTTACTGAATACAGTGATGTCTGAATACCATATTTTGGACATAAGAGAACATTCTATAGCCCAACTGCATTGTTTTATGACAAAGTTTGCCAAAACTCATAATGATGTACAGTTTAAAAAGGAGTGCATTCAGCCAAACACTAGGCAGAGCTAGTGAGCCCCACAGAAGTGGAGGAGGAAGGATTGTAGGAGCCAGAGGGGACTAGGAATCAGGAGAGTACATCCCACAGACATTAACTAAGCAGTGCTCATAGAAACTCACAGAGACTGAAGCAACAATCTTGAACCCTGCATTGGTCTGCACTAGGTCCTTTCCATGTATTTTATGGTTGTGTAGCTTGATGTTTTTGTGAATCTCCCACAAGCAGTGGGGTGCCTGAATCTTTTGCTTGCTCTTGGTACCCTTTTCCTCCTGCTGGGTTTCCTTGTCCCACCTTAATGTGAGGAGATTGCCCAGTCTTAAATTAGTCCATGTTTGGTGAATATCTTTGGGAGGCCTGCTCTTTTTATTTTAAAGAAAACAGAGGAGGAGTTGATCTGGAGGAGTGGGAGGGTTTGGGAGTAGTGGAGGGACAGAAAACTATAGTCAGGATATAATGTATGAGAAAAGAATAAAAGTTCAAAAACAGAATGAATTTAACTCAATGTAAATTATGCCTCAACAAATGTGTCTTCAAATAAAGAGGGCATCAATCTCCCAGAATATAACCCATAAAAGACATTTGTATTTCACTCTGAGAGTAATGGGAATACAGAGTTTGGGTTCTTTCCTTGGATTAACTGACTACCAAGGAAAGCTGTATGTACCAGAAATAAGTATAAATTATACTTTTAAATAACCCCCAAAATATTAGAAATTAAATTATTTTAACCCACTCTAATATTTTTATTAACTTGTTAACTTGTTTTAAAGCATTTGGGAAGGCTTATAAGACATGTAGCATTGGATGTGATCAGGTAACTCTTCTTCTAAAGGTTCATGTCTTTGCTGACTACTTCTTCCATTGAGTTAGAAAAAGACAAATGTCAAGAAACTTGATGATTCTAGTATCCTATAGCTTATGAAATGTATTCTCTTTGGAACAACTTTAATCACACTGAAGGTCTCCCATGTCAGTCAAGTATACAGATGTAGTAAGGAAAGGGAAGGGAAGGGATACGAGAGAAAGGAGGAGAAAAGGAATAGTTTCTACATTCCAAGATGGGAGAGCTGGCTACTGGTGTGTTTCCATTGAAAAGGAAAATCTTAATAACACAGAAGATATAGATTGACCACAGAATAAATGGCAGTATTTTTGTGCATTTGGTTAATGCACAAAGAATAACAGTAGTTGTCTAGTATAAATGTTCCCAAAGATCACTGGGGGTCCATGGCCATGATTAAAGAATTGATTTTAGAAAAGGGCAGGCCTCCCATGTATATCAGCCAGCCATGGCATATCAAATTGCAGTGAGACTAGGCTCCTCCTCGCCTATTGAGACTGGAAGAGGCACCCCAGTAGGAGGAAAGGGTCCCAAAATCTGGTAACAGCATCAGAGACAGTCCTATCTCCCACTGTTAGGATGGCGCTAGACTGGGAGAAGAGGAGAGAGGGAGGGGAACTTGTGATTCTGTTGGGGGAAAAGTAATTGAATAAAGAAATAAAGAATTTAATTTTAGATATTTTATGGTCAAGCAAACTATTCAGTTACCTTTAAGACAAAGGTACACATAAATAACAAAAGAACTTGACAGTAAACAGAGTATCCCAAATGGAATAAAAGGCAAAGCTGCACTGTATCATTGGCAAAGAGAAAAAGACTCTGTAATCTTTGGTCAAGTGTATGTATGTGGCATGACACAAAAGCTTTAACAAAGAGAACATCAAGAAAACAAACAGATCTGTATTTCACTATTACTATTAAAACCTATGGAATGCTAATAGATAAGACTTCTGAGAATTAAGACTGTGGATTGCATAATGGGAAACATTTCCTGAAGAATAAAAACAAAGAAAATGTAAAAAGGGCCTCATAACACATTATCACAACACATACACAAAGCTCTAGCGTATTCTCAGACAAGCTGTGCTGTTCTCTTGTGAAGCAACAGACAGAAAGAGTTTTCTAGGATCCACTTGTAGAAGTATAAAGAAAAACATTCTCCATGATCCTGCCATTCTCTGAGAGAATGTATAGGAAAAGATCAAAGCATGACCAAGCTTATTCTTATCACCCAGATTAATTGTACTTATCTAGTATATTTTAGTGAGGCCATACGAGAGACTGTTAAAAATCAACTACTTAAATATCAATTTTCTCAAGCAGGCATTAAGGCAGGGTCCTCTGATATAAAGACATGTGTTTTGGAAACCAGTTCTAACTGTACTAGCAGACTGAATGGACAACTTGTACCACCCCATATCAAAACATATTCCAAGGGATAACTGTCTTTTGGGGTTCAGTAGCAGCCTAAGTGAGTAACACCACGTAGACAGTGACAGAGAAGAAGTTGGTAAAGTAGCTCAGTATGAACTGTAGACGACCTAAATATGGACCAGATTCATTAGTACATCTAGATTTGGGCAAGAAACCAATCAGCGAGCTTTTATTCATCCACAAAAGTCCTTAGGTCACAGTGGGATATGTTTGACGATCTGGCTTAACCAGAAAAGGAGTCATTTTAAAGCCAGCTTACTTAAGTGTTCCTGAAAACTTAGAAATGAGCTTGACTAAGGGGCTGGGGAACTATCTCAGTAATGTGCTTGTCATACTGTGAAGACCTGAGTTTATTCCAGGTACCTATGTAAAAGCCAGACACAGTCTGGGAAGGCAGGCGGAAGTATGCTTATAGCTTGCTGGCTAGTTCATCTAATCAAATTGAGGGAATTCCAGGTTCAGTAAGATATCTCATCTCAAAAAAAAATTGAAGAGTGATTGAGGAAGACACCCAATGGAGACCTCTGGCCTCCACATATACAAATGCACAAACAAGTGTGTGCTGCCCCCACCATGAACATATACACAATTCAATAAAGGAAAAAGCTTCGAATAAATAATTTGAATGCATGACACTACAAGGTGTTCATTTAAAAAAGAGTGAGGAGGGCTGGGGGAATGTTTCAGTAGTTTACAGTGCTTGCTTCTCTTTCAGAGGACTTGAGTTCAGTTCCTAGTACCCACATTAGGAGGTGCACAACTGCCTGTAATTCCAGCTTCAGGACACCCAACACTCTTTGTAACCTCCACAGGTAACCACACAGAGAGGTACACACACACATACATGTATCTAAATAAAACTTAAAAAATTAACTAAGGACAAAATTAGTTGGCACCAGGACAAGACATAAGATTGTGGTTAGGGAAATTATTAAATTATTTTAAAATGGTACTTTTATAATGCTCAGTAGACAGTTCTTATTGTAGCCACTGTATAAAAGATAGTATGTGTGGTGGTAACAAATGAGAGATGGGCAAGGAGAACACCAGGGGTACCATTTCCACTGAGGGAGGGGCTCTGGGATCTTTCAAAGTTTGTTCTAAGGACTCTTCCTTGAATTTATTGAAGTTATCAGTGCTGTTTTATCTACTCATATCATCCAGACAGAAGTCAGGGTCTGTGTCTCCTCTACTGGCCCAGATAATATAATAACGTATCATTAAGAGGATGACAGTCAGAGGTTTGGAATGCCTAATATGGCTACTTATTGTCAGGATTCTTTCCAAGGGTCTCTTGCAAGTCATGTCGTTGGCTTGGATATGGCAGTCTTCCAGAAGTAGCTATCATTGTGAATATTTACCTAATTTCATTATAGAGCTTTAACACATACATTTTCCCACAAACTGTAATAGAGCCATACACAAATAAATTCATTATAGCATAAAATATAATTTAAACTGCATTTGAGGTGTTCTATTTGAGGTGTTCTGGGATACACAGACAGACAGATACATGCACACACACTCTACAATCACTGGAAGAGATGGCTGTAGTAGTTAATACCTAAAATTCCAGCATTGGGGAGGAAGAGATAAGAGATAGCTGCAAATTCTAGACCAATGTGGTCTACATAGCCAGTATCAGGACAGCCTGTACTAAGACCTTATCTAGAAAAAAAACTGCAGTGGACTGAAGGCATGGACGCAGTGTCAAGAGCACTGGCTTTTCTTTCAGAGAACCAGCTTTAAACCCAGCAGTCATGTGGTGGTTCACAAACTATCTGTAACTATTGTGCCCAGGTTCTATTGCCGTTCATTGATCTTTAAGGGCACAGACATACCTTATACTCCTGTACACACAAAGTAAACAAGCAAGCAAGCAGACAAAAAAACTTTGGAACAGTGTTTCCTGCCATTACTGATTAAAAGCTGTGTTGACTCTCACTCCAGCTGTGTTCCCAGCAAAGCCCTTACTCTGCTGGACACTTCTGCAGTTACACTGCCTTTCTAGGCCTCAAATAGATCACAGGTACACTGCCTACATCACTTGCACATGTGACAGTAAGTGGGGCTGTGTCAAAGCTGTGGCTCACTGCTGCCACCCAGGATTGAGATGGTTGAGTACTACACGTCTAGGAAAACATGCGAATACAAAGCATGGCTTCTACCAAAAGCCAATGTTTTTTTTTTTTTTTTTTTTTGGTTTTACAGGACAGGTTTCTCTGTATTGTTTTGGAGGCTGTCGGTCCAGCCCGGCCTCAAACTCATAGAGACCCACCTGCCTCTGCCTCCCGAGTCCTGGGATTAAAGGCGTGCGCCACCACCGCCCGGTCAGTGGTTTTTGTATCATAACAAAGTAAAATCACACAAATTTGATATGCCATAGCTAGCAAACCAGAAACAAACTGTACTCTACATCTTCACCTTCATATGCTTTTAACATGAAATGATTTATGAAATGGGAAGATTCTTACCCTCAGTCACGTGAACTGTGGTGGTCTGGACCTGTGATCCAGCTGCTTTGACTCTCACTCCAGCTGTGTTCCCAGCAAAGCGTGGACTCAGCTGGACATTTGTGCCTTTCTAGGACTCAAATGGATCACAGATACACCGCACACGTCACTTCCAAATGTGGTATTGAGGCTGTGTCAAAAAAGAAACAGAGAATCAAACCAATAAAATGGGTTTCTAAAAAGTGTAAATAAATTATCCTAACAAAGCTCTTGTAGGCATGCCATTTTGAAGAGGATGGAAGTAACAGTAGCTTTCTGTCTACTGTGGGCTAAAACTGAATGAACTCCATTTGTTGAATGTTTAGTCTTCACACCAGTCTTAAATGGGGCTTTATCTTCCTCATACCACACTTTTTAAAATGAATTTCAATTATATACTACATGCTGTCTTACATTTTCCTAATACAAAATATATTTCATTGTTTTGTTTGCTTACTTTATAAAAACACTTGTCTGAAGAAAAATTGGGCTATCTGGCAAGCGCCATCTTGTGTCCAGAAGCAGAACTGTCACTACCATGTCCTTGGAGAAAGGTGGGAACTACATCCTGCCAGCCAGCAGCTTTCTCAAGTTTCTAGAATACACCAGACCGAAAATCCGAGTTCTGTTATGCACTGCCCAAAAGGTGCAATTCAAATGTCCCCACCTCCAAAGTTCTGGACTGTAAAAGAAATTTCATGCCTACCAAAAATTAAATATGAGGAAGCAACAAAAATTATAATTTTGGAAAGATAAATCTAGTAATAATTGCCTATATACCTTACATATTTTTACATATGCACATGAATCCATAATATTACAAACCAGCTTTTTCGTTTTGATTTTGTTTTGGTTGTTTGAATTAAGGAACTGCTCTGCAACCCAGACTGTTCTGGAAATCACTATTCAGTCCCAAGCTAACTTGGAAACTCAAGGCCATTCTCCTGCCTTAGATTCATGAATGCTCAGATTACAAATGTAAAACACCATGCCTTGCAGCCAGTTCCCTTCATTGATGCACTGCTTTAAATTCTATTTTCCTCCAACTTTAAAGAATTTTATCTCAAGGCTTATTTTCTGATATCACTAGAAAATGACTAAAGATAAATGAAAGAGTATTTTAAATCCAGTATGTTTGCATATGCCCTTATTCCATCATTCAATGGGTTGAGGCAAGAGCATTGCCACAAAGACAGCCTGGAACTACCCAGTTCCAGGTGAGTCTGTCTGGAGACAGCCTGTCTCAAACAACAATAACAACCACCAAGAGGCTATTTTAAAATAGAGACAGTAAGACCACTCCTATCTCCACCCCTTAAAAATACCATTAGTAGGCTGACCCCCTTTTTCTGATTGATGACACACTAAACATATTTTTTTCTTCTTAAACAACCGAAAACGCTGCTTGCCATTCTAAACTTACTTTTTTCACCGACTTCTACTTTGCAGGCAGCTTTTCAAACCATTACAGTGTCATACTTTTATTTGCCAGCAACTGTATGTAACATCCCATAGGACTGAAGTATCATGCCACATAATACTTTAAAAACTGCTTAGAGCAATTAATCCAGACCCCTATCCCACCTTTCAACTGAGATAATACAAAAAACAAATAGTGGTTCTTGCTGACCAGTGCTGTACCTGTGGCCTGACAGGAGCCCTCACAAGCAGGTTCCACGCAGGGCTGTCGTGTACACAACTTGGTTCCTTGACTGGGTCCAGAAAGAAAAAAAATCTCTGTCAGCTATGAGAGCGAGCACTTATCTCCGTTTGTACTTGTGTGTGTTCATGCGCGTGTGTTTGAAATAAAATAGGTATGCTCTCTTCGCATCACTTTGCTTTTCTAATTAAAAAAATTATCAAGGAAAAAAGCAGTTCTGAAAAGGCTGAAAGCAGTTAAAAAAATAGAGTACGCGTCACCTCGCCACCGACCAAGACCAAGTATACCCAAGCTCAGACGCAAGGAGTCTAGTTTCCCGCCCCCGCCCCCAGTCAGAAAAACGCGCATTTTTTTTTACAAGTGATATCACTCAACAGCGTATCTAAATCTCGTTCCAAGCCCCTGCGCCTCTCTATGTCATTCATTTTATGACTGAATTTTCTGCCAGTTATTTTTTTGTCAGAATGCAGATTTTAAAACAAAATCTCATTAAAAAAAAAAAACCCAGAAAACAAAACAAAACTGTGCCGGAGACAAAAAAAACACGGAATGCCACGTAAGAAAATGAACATGAACGGCATGCCTCACTGAAGTCTTAATTTAGAAGCTGCAATCCGATCACCTCTCCCCACACTATATGGACTTTCAAATTATCCGAAAACCCCAAATTCCACAGAATTAATTCCACACGGAAAACGACAAGTCTTTCAGAACATTAGTCCATCCCCACGTCTCCCAGGCACTAATTTCTATTTTCTTTTTCCACCTTTCCCCCAAAACGCGAAGAAATTTCCAGAAAATAACGGGCATTAAGACAGCCATTACCTCAAGCTCCGACTCCGCCGCCACCACCAGGAGAAGTGAGGCCCCTCCCTCAGGACAGGCGCCGCTGCACGAGCGAGGGAGCCAGCTTCCCACGAGCTGGCAGAAGCTCCGCCCCTCGTGCCGGGGGCTGTCGGGGAGAGCCCCCTCTGGGCGGGGCCAAAGCCTCCAACTCAGACGCAGACTTGTTTGAGCCTGAGGTAGGGAAAAAAAAAGCCGCTTTAAAAAAAAAAAACTCGAAGGCAACATGTGTCCTTTACATTCAAAGCACTGGGGTTAATCACCTCCCCCCGAAAAAATGCAGAAATGGCTTTCTCATACGTTAAAGACCTAGATAAAAAGACCTTTTGCCACATAGTTGTTTTGTTTGTGGGTTTTTTTTGGGGGGGGAAGGTTGGTTTTTTTGCCTATCGTGACATATTATTTCTGGAAACTGCTCAAAATGTATTAAAAAGCTCTGCCAGGTTCTTGTTTGTGATTGAGGTAAATTAATAACGCCTTATTGGGGGAGAATTAAGTCTTTGCAAGATTAATTTTCCTGAGATACGTGTTTTCTCCCACTTGAGTGCATGACCTCTCTATCTCTCTGTCTCTGTCTCTGTGTGTGTCTCTCTCGATATGTGTGTGTTTTGTGTGTGTGTGTGTGTGTGTGTGTGTGTGTTAATCAGGTCCTCTCATTGATCCATCAGAAACTTTCACACATCTTAGTCATTTCTAAATATGAAACATGACTTAGAATTATTTTTAAAAATGTGTGTATCTGATACTGAAATTAGTGAGGGGAAACCTTGTAGTAAAAAACACTGTAAGCTAAAGCAGAAAACTCAACAAATTTTGAGCAAAGCTGTTTTCAATGTAAAACCATATCTGTTCTAAAGTAGCTCTTAGTTTCCCCAAGCACTGGGCAAACTGAGGCAGGAAGCTTGGGAGGGTTGAAGGGAGCTTGGGCTACATAGTGAGAACCTATCTCAAAAACTAAATAGCTGGGTGTTGGTGGCACATGCCTTTAGCCTTTAATCCCGGCACTCAGGAAGGAGGCAGAGGCAGGCGGATCTCTGTGAGTTCGAGACCAGCCTGGTCTACAAGAGCTACTTTCAGGACAGCTTCCAAAGCCACAGAGAAACCCTGTCTCGAAAAAAAAAACATACCAAACCAAAATAAAACCCACCCACCCCCAAAACAATGAAATGTTGATGCCAGCGTAAAAGATTTTACATGTTAATTAGAAATAAATAGCAAAATAAAAATAAATGGGCAAAGGACAAGAAGACATGAATAGTTGATGAAATTCTAAGGGAATACTCTGCTTCCTTGTAAGCACCGTCAAGCAGAGCAACTCTAAATATCTCTGTCCCTGCTCCAAGCCTCCAAGCGGCTTGACAGTATTTACTTAAATTTGGTGCGCAGTCATAAGGCCCCCTTGACTTTTACAATTATCAGTGTTCTGCAACTCACCATTGTACACTTTTGCCTCCCTGTACAACTCCATTTTATATCAATTTGTTCAGTGGAGAAAGGCAAATCGTTTTTATCAGAGCTCCTTAAAATCCAAATATTCAAAATGACAACAAAGCAACACTTGAAAGATATAGCCACCTACTTTAATATTTAAAATAATGCGAATGCAACTAACATTAAGACCCCATAGGTTTTGTGTTTTCTTTTTTTTTTTTTTTGCCCAGTTTGACTAAAATACAGCAAATTATAAAATAAACAATTGGCAAGATTACAAGGAAACAGAAACTTGTGCCTGTTCCAAACCTGGGTAAGGGACAAGAAAAATAAAATAAAGCCGAAGAAAGTCTGTCTGCCTCTTTCAGAGTGGCCTGTCCAGTGCAGTCACTGCCTCCAGGGCTTAGAATCCTGCCTGTCTGCTAGAATGTTGGATGACATCATTTAGTCTCTGATTAGGGGTGATTAGTGAATGTGATACAGACTGTGCGCATGTCAACATCACATCCCTGCTGGTGAGTACACTGGAAACCCCTGCCTGCCATGCTCAGTGATCCCTATACTCCCCCACATACTTTGTCCCTCTTAGGGATTTTGGTGCACTATGCCTTCCTGCTAACCATACTCAGCATGGTTCCATCCTCTTGGCCTTAGGGTCTTTCTTGGCTGCTGAAGCCTAGTGGTCGGTTCCCTTTCAGATATGCCTCCTCCAAGTAATGGCACTGAAAGTCATTCCACTTTATTAATGATTAGCCATCGTTTGTTCCTGTGCTTTGGTTTTAACAGCCATGTCCATATGGGAAAGCTGCATTGCTGTCATCCTTTGTTATGCTTCTTTAAAAAAATTGAAAAGTACCGAAGAAATTAAGACTAAAATTTAGAATTTTCTTTTCCTTTAACCCTGACTTGTTGGGAAGCAACACACCACCTGTGGGTAACAAGTCTGAGCTTTACATCTCTTAAGATAATGTTATGTTAAGTTTAAAAACACAAAAGATCTAAGATGTTAAGTAGCACCATCAGTTAACACAGCGAGCAGGTAACAGGAATCTATTGCTCATTATAACAGCCGAAAATAGAGAAACAGCTGGACTGTTACCAAAGCTCTTCCTGCAATAAAAAAAATGGGAAGGGAAAAAAGGGCTTGCCATCATTCTTCTAGAGATCCTAAGCAAAAGGGTCAGACAAGGTCAAAATGATTCTGTACCCACTCTGCTGGTGATGTGTGGGTCTCTCTTCTGTCATTGCAATACTGCAGTGGAGGCATTATGGTTATATTTTTCAAATAGGAAGTCAGACAGTTGTGAGTTTGAAGCGTTTATTACCTTTGTTGAAACCAAATTTCCAATTCTTCACACAAATTTAGGTTGTCATCTCCACATCCCAGACAGCTCATTTAACACAAACTTCTAATGTTAACTTAGCTTGTTCAGTATCAGATAGTAACTACATTTCAAGATGTGATAATAAAAAATTGCAGACTCCTGCAGGGTTTTCCAGAAAACCTTATGCTAGGTGAAAGAGACACTAAATGGTTCTTAATTCTTGTTAGCCTCATTTCATTCCCCCTGAAAATTCACAAGTAGCTTGAAAAAGATATTTTCAATGACTGATAACTGGGTTAGATTAAAACATAGCCCCAAAGAAAAGGGACTAGATAAAAAGTTTACTTCGCTAAGTGGAAAGGTAGATGGACAATGAGAGTGGAGACAAGGTACAGGTAGAAAAACAAATAGAATCAGACAGAAGGCGGGGCGAACAAAACCAGAGAAGCACTAAGATAACACAAACCGGATACCTTATCTCTATTTTTTGCTCTTGCAAAAGAAAGAAAGGAACGTATGTAGGGAGGGTCTTTCGCAGCATCAGGGACATTATTTGTGTTCCTGATGGCTGGAGACTTTTGAGCTTTTCTGGTTATACTGTGGAATGTTGGGTTTTAATGTTTTCTGAGTGCTACTGCTGCCCTTTTTATCCGAGATAATTGAAGAAAATCTCATGGACAAAAGACAGAGGGCTCAACTTCAACAACACAGCACAACCTGGAGTCAGAGGTTTGTTCTGGTTGCCAGAGAAGAGGGGAATGGGTTAAACCATGATGTACTTATTCAAGAAATCAAGCAGATTTCCTTCTAAGGGAAAGCTTGGGGGCCTTTAAGCAGATCTTCAGAAACCTTAGTCACTTTGCTACGTGATGACAACCTAAAGCACTTCTCAAGGACTGGCCAGTCCAGTTCAGAGGTCAGCTCTGGGTAGCCATTAACATGACTTCTGTTTAAAACAAGACACTCTTTCTCAAAACTGTGACATTTCATTGCAATCTTTCCAGTTTCAGAACAGGGAGCTAAATGATGTGTACCCCCAAATTTTCAACTGAAAAGAACTTTACTACAAAAAGGTAGTTTTAAATTTAAAATGCCACAGATGCAAAAATAAAGTATCCTTTATGATCTCAAAATGTTTTCAAATGTAAGAAGTTTGATGAAATCAGAAGAGCCTTACCCTCTGTCACGTGGATGGTGGTAATCTGGCACTATGATCCAGCTGTTTTGATTTGAACTCCAGCTGTTTGCCCAGCAGAACGTTCACTCTTGTTACTTGTGTGGCTGCCCTGGCTTTCTGGGTACACGTGGTATCACAGGCCGTCTTGCCCTCGTTACTCACAAGTCTGATAGCAACTGAGGCTGGTCAAAAGGAAGACAGAAAATCCAATCAATAAAGTGAAGAAAGAATGTGGAGAAACTGCCTACCCAAACTCTAGCTGCTATGAGACACAGAAGTGAGAAAATCATATCCCTGGTAATCTCAGGATATGCTGATTTTCCCTCTTATTCATGTAAGTTGAAATGCTTTTTAGGACAGCTATATATTTGTTTCATGCTGGAATACCCTCCACTCAGAAAATTAAGAGGTAGAGACATAAAAGAAGCCTTGCATTCTTTATCAACCAAATGCTGGCCAACTATCTTGGCTTTTTGTCTTTTTGTTTGTTTTTGGTACTTTGTTTATAAATTCTCATATCACTCAGTCTCTTTGTATGAAGTTTTCCAATTATATACAACAGATACTTTCAATCATACACTGTGTGAATGTTCACAACCATCTAAAACAAAATATAATTTATTATTTTTTGTCTGCTTTATACAAGTAATTGCCTGGGCTGAGTGGTGGTGGTGCACACTTTTAATCCCGACACTTGGGAGGCAGAGGCAGGTGGACCTTAGTGAGTTCAAGGCCAGCCTGGTCTATAAAGCAAGTTCCAGGACAGATAGGACTGTTACACAAAGAAACCCTATCTTGAAAAAAAAAAGCCTGGAAAACATTAAGTAAACCATAAACCTGGTAAGAGTCATCTTTTCACCAAAACCAGAACTCCAGACGGGGAATAGGAGCAATAACCATGTAAAGATTAGTTTTCTCAAGTTTCCAGAATTGTTCATTCTCAGCTTAACAGTTTCTTCATTCTCAGCTTAACAGTTTCTTCTCTCTTTCTCTCTCTCTCTCTCTCTCTCTCTCTCTCTCTCTCTCTCTCTCTCTCTCTCTCTCTCTCTCTCTCTCTCTCTCTCCCTCCTTCCCTCCTTCTCTCCTTCCCTCTCTCCCTCCCTTGCTCTCCTCTGTGTGTTGTGAAAAAAACAGGATAATAAACTCCTCATTTTAGGGTTTAGACTAAAATATCTAATGTTTATTTTCTATTCAGGTTTGCATTCTAGATACAATAGTCATCAAACTATGATGGCTTTCTTCACATACTGCTATACATGTGTGTATGTA